TCCGCGGTTAATACGAATTTTGGATGAGATTATGTAATATAGTTATTTCGCATGTGTAATGGTTCGATCATTTTTTTCAGTATGGATATTTATTTTACAGCAACATAAAGACGATATCATAGCTTTTTATATACTTTTTTTTTTTAAAAAAAAAATATCGTAAAATCTCAAATAGCAAGCATGGGCGTTATTTCGAATTTTGGCCCGAATTAAGCTTGATGCGGGCCAAAATGAGCCCATACTCGCTATTTCGACAACAGTACCGAATTTACTCGGTTATATGTGTATAAGAGTTACAGAAATGCAGAACTTTAATCAGACATACGATTTATTTAAAAATGGTAAAAAAAAGTACTAAATTTGACAAGTTAAATGATGAAATGAGTGAATGGATGAATGAATGCAATATATAAGAAAAAAGCGTGAGAAGTAGGGATTCTAATGAAATTTAAAATGAATGTGTGAGATGCAATTGAATAATAAAATATGGAGTAAAATGCAAATTAAACATGAATGCGTTTCTGTACAGTGTATGAATTATAATTTTTTTTTGTTTGTCTATACTATGAATGTACAAAATGCAAATAAGTGATTATAAAGATGGTGTAATATATAAATAATATATAGTTATATATAAAATAATAGTTATCATGTTTAATCCATCACTATATATATATATATTTAACTTAATGTTAAGTATTATTATTTCTTAAGATTTTTGACGGTGTCAACAACTTCACGTAACATTCTCAAACTTCTCTTATCACCGGATAATGCTGTATGAAAAGCATTCATACAATATCCAAAGCCAATTTTTAATTCTGGATTCCAAAGAAGCATACTACCTCCTGATCCTCCCCATCCAATAAATTCGTGGAATGATGATTTATTGGCACATGTAATTTGAACAAAGTCGGTATATACATTATTATTTCATTAAAGTATTTAACAACAACTTTCCGACCTTGTTTGATTTTTAATATTACATATAATAACATAGTGTTACTGTCGTTTAAGATAAATACAGGGCTTTTTGCGTTCACTCTTCTCATCACTGACCGCATTTCGCTGACCATTTCCACCAAGGGAATAATCAGGCAGTCACCTATAATATTTGATAGGCCTGATTCCATTTCGTCATAATTTTGGCGAAAAAAGAAAAAATTCAATACTTTCATTTTTCATTTTTCCTTCAAAATTTTGCGCCAAACGTTGCTACAAGTAGTCCGCAATCCTCTCTACACCGCCTTTCAAATTTTTCTCTACATCTATCTGATATCACATACATCGAAAGACGATAAAATGTCATCAGAATCAACAGAACTTGATATGGAGTATATGACGAAAGCTGAATCCAGCAATACTAATTCCTCTACTGAAAGAACACCATTATTACCGATCGCCAACAAACATAAAAAAATCCCAACTTCAAATTCCAAAATTACTTTTTCTTCGTATTTACCTCGATCCATTTCCTGGATCCCAGAGTCTTTAGTTAACACCATTTCAAATATTTCAAATATGGCACAATCTTCTATGAAATCGATAGTCACATCCGTACCTTCAAATTTTATTCCAAAAAATTTTAATTACTCTACAATTCCGTCGATCCCGTCAACATTTATTTCTCAAGCAACTTCATCTACTAAATTCTTA